TCCATCTAATGTGATTTAAACCCATGAACAGAGGACATAGACATTTATTCATTTTAGCAGACACTTTTTATCCAAAGTGACTTACAAGTGATGCACCTTAATGAGGCAATAACAAAAGAAGTGCTAGCAATACAAACTTACAAACATTGTCTAAAATATAAGCTAGAACAATGAATGAAACCATAGAATATTTTTTTTAACTCTTGAGACTTAAATTAGCATTGAATTAGATGTTTCTCCTATCATTCTATATACTGTACATAAAATACACACAAATGACATACAGCAAGAGTATAGAGCTGTAAAATGAATGTGGATGGCAGTTCAGATCATTTGGTCTAGCAATGTCTTAATTCATATTGAGATCTGACTTTCGGTTGCAGATGTTGGCATCTTGGCAACTCTGAGCAGAGTTTGAGACATTATTGCGATCTCTTCTGAAACTCTAGAGAAGACATGTGAGTTTATTCTATTCTTTTTTTATTCTCTTTTTCTCAGGAGAAACATCTGAGAAGCAGGAGACTCGAGTAAAAGTCTCCATAATGTCTTTGCTGTGTAGAAACAATTAAGATATTATTTCTATGTGAGCAGTGATGTCATGTATCAGTGCTGTTTGTCTCTGTTGAGGGGGTGGGAACAGGTTGAGGGAAGGATTTTGGACTGTGGTTTATTGCTATAAGACAGCAGACGCACTTATGTTTCTTCACTTGAACCACAATAACAGGGATTATTTCATGCAAGCGTCTCCGCTGACCACTGGAACAAACCTCCAGCAAGGGAACTGAGGTATTTACCCTGGACCACAACTCAAATATTATTCCAGCGCACAATCTGACCTTTAACTATTCCAGTGAGATCTTGTTTGGAGCATTTTTAGTCTTTGCAGATGCTCTGTGTTTTCTGCAGCTGCTCGACATTTACCCTGCACTCTCTCGCAGCGTGTCCATCAACAGTGTTTACCAGACCAGCCAATGAAGCCCTTCATCAGATTTGATTTAACTCATTCCAGCGCTGAAGTGTTTGTGAATGTGTGAAGCATATGCTGAAAGTCATAAACTCTTATAAATGTCAGACCATGTGTCTGCAGTAAATGCTGTAGGTTTGTATCCATCGTGAATGACATCACTGTTGTTTCTCTGAGGAGGATGAGGATGAGAATGAGGAGTGCTCTGAACCTGCTGTCTTTGGTCTGTCTGTGTGCCGCACAGAAGAAATGGACCCAGGACACGTCCGAGTGGGACAACCGAGGTAAAATCTCTCAAAATTTATACTGGTGTTTTCTATTAGTTGGCACAGGTGATGTGAGGAACTGTAAGAAAAATCCCGACTTATCTAACATTTAACTCTTAAAGAGAAGTTGTGAGGATATACTGCAAGTGTTTGTAGAATATCTCCAAAATACTTCAGAGGATTTTTCTAGCAATAAGAATTAAATAAACACATTAATACAATGCTAAGTTAGTGATTTAAATTAAAAAAAAGTAAAATGCCAGAATGGAACAGGGTTATTATATAGAGCAAAATTAATAAAACATATTAATAAAACAACTAAAATTAAAACAAAATGTAAAAATAAAAACTAATGATAATGAAAAATAATTATATGAATTAATTGAAAATAATCATAAAATAACACTGGTTGCTAGTTTGTTGGTTTGTAGCAATGGATGAGCTTGTATTTCTCATGCTTTAAAGAATAATATATGTGTTTAGCCGTGTTTATTAATGTTTGATCATTTTTATTATATTAACTTTGGCAGTAGAGTTGAATATTTGATTTTGGCACATGCAGTACCTTTATTACATATGGGAAAAAATTATGGGACTCCAATAAGTGCCCTAAATTAATGAAAGCGCCTATTGTTATTTTGTGAACAGTGCAAATATTAAGAAGGCGCCTTTGAGAAAATAAATATAATCTTGATGAGAAATCACACTTTTTAAATTTTACTTGTCTGAATGTGCTTCCAGTTGTGTGCTTGTTGATCGATTGTTCAACTTTATTGAACATTCGACCTGTCACTGACTGAAATGATGTAAAATCTAGTGCTAAAAGGTATATGAATAAATTAAATTAAGTGGAAAAAAAACTCAGGGACATGCATCTAATGGCAAAAAATTTTTTCACTTTTCACAGACAAGCCAAACAGCAGGAGCTGTTCAAACCTGACACAGGTTCTGGACAACTGGAAATACGCCATCATGTACCAGGTGAAGGACATGCTGGTCAATGATCACGCGTCCATCTTACCAGAATATGTCAGGTGGGTTGTGAAGTGCTGTGGTGACTTTTGAAGGTGTTTGGTTTCATAAAACGAGGTCTGGTCTGTCCATGGCACGCATATTGCAGTCCACTCCAGCCTCAGGCCATCTGGACATTTTCTTTGTGACTTTTTTTCGCAGCAACCGGAGAAAATTGGGATCATATGGCAAAAAGGAAATGATTATTAATGCAAAATATGCTTTGACTAAAATAAACCACTTAATCTGCACAATATGTGCTTTCTCTAAGGTGCAGGACCTTTGATCCCAAGCCTAAAATCTGCTCAGCAGCTTCAAGCCCCGTTAATCATGCATGAAAGATTTCTTGTGTATAATTACGACCTCATTTCTAACTAGTACTGCTACAAATCATCATTTACTTTTATTACCCGACCTCTGTGCCAGCAAAATGTGTCACTGGGGTTTAATCCAGGTCCTGTCATCTAATCCATACGCTATATTGTTTGAAATAAAACGATGATTACAATGTAGATTCTAGCCATGGGTTGTTGACATTTTCGTGAATTTTATTTGAAAATCTATATGGACATATAAAGTTCATTTTTTAAGATATTGCTTTTTCATTTTTTTAAATTACCCTTTTAACTTTTCTGGACTTCATCTAAACTGAGAAAAAAAAAGCTGTAGGATTTACTTGCATTTTTGAATTTACAATGATTTACTACTGTTTTGTTTTTGTTTATCAGCGAAAATGTTCAGAAAATGTTGTTTATCCATCTCAGAACATCAGAGAAATGGGTTGTTAACATTTATTTCATATGAGGGTTGTGATTTTTAAAACTCTTAATTGCCACTATACATGAATGAAATCTTGAGTTACAGATTTAAATGAGAAAATGAAGTAAAATACCAGAATGGATCAGGGATATTATAGTTAACTAAAACTAAAATCATTAAACAAAATTGAATTTTCAATTGAAATAAAGTAAACTTTAGCTGAAATAAAATATATAAAAATATATTTTATTTCAGGTAGTTGGGACATATATATAAGGCAACATACAGTATCTCATAATTTTTTATTAGTTTAACTTGATGTACTAGAATAGCTAAAACTGAAATAAAATTCATTAAAACTACAAAGACATTTTAAAATTAATAGACAAATTAAAATAGACATTAATAGAATTTAATAGAAATTATTATTATTTTGCTTTAAATTACCTTTTAACTTTTTCACAATTCATCTAAACTGAAAGAAAATTGGTGTAGGGTTTACTTTGAATTTACATTGAATTTATTGATTTTATTGATGTACAATTTTCAGTCAGAAATTGATAGTGAATTACACAAATAATTACATGCCAAGTAACACACTAAATAAAACATGACATTTTGAAGTAAAGATAATGAAATAATAATAATATTTTTTTGTAAAACCTTGTAATGTTTTACTTATTGCTTGGTGGTTAATTATTGGCCCGAATCAAACGAATCTACTCTAAAGTCTCATAAAAGTACTCTAAAAAGCACTTAAAAGTAAAGTACTCTAAAGTTATGACCTCTCCTCTTGCCAACCACATGATTTGAATAATTATTTATGCAGGACTAGTTAAGTGCCCACATTTAATACTTGGCTTTAGAGTTTTAGGACAAACATATTTTTATGTGTATATTTTATGTTTTATGCACAGGATACAGCCCCTGTCGGACGCGGTGGGAGATCTTTATAAGCAGTTCAACGCTCTTAAGGAGAACCTGGCGAAGCTGACCAACAAGTTTGACAAGGTAGAAAGCTTTGTGGATGAGATCCAAGCAGGAAAATTTCCCAGGCCAAAAATTTGGATGCCACCAAGACTCCCTGTCAGGAGAAGCCCACATCAGATGCCAGTGAAAAGCTCTGCAAAAGTCCCAGGTAAATCAGTGTGGGCTCAGAGGAGAGTCAGAAGAGGTCCTGGTACTTAACAGACTATACAGCAAGTCAGAAGAGGCAGCTGATCAGCTTACTGGATCAGGAGACATAATCATGATGCTTTTCTAATAGTAGCCTGCTCAAACCAGAGATGAGCCTGTCAGGTATTTAAAGGAACAGTTGACACAAAAATTAACATTTGCTGAAAATTTACTCATCCTCAGGCCATCCGATATGTTTTTTCTTTGTCTGAACAGATTTGGAGAAATGTAGCATTACATCACTTGTTCACCAATGGATCCTCTGCAGTGAATGGGTGCCGTCAGAATGAGAGTCCAAACAGCTGATAAAAACATCACAATAATCCACAAGTAATCCACACCACTCCAGTCCATCGGTTAACATCTTGTGACGAGAAAAGCTGTGCGTTTAGAAACAAATACATCATTTTATCTTCAAACCATTACTTCTGGCTAAAATACAAGCCCTCTATCCATAACATTGCTTTCTCCAGTGAAAAAGTCATCTCGTCTGAATCAGGAGAGAAATGCACAGATCAAGCACCATTTACCACCATTTATTTGGATTTGAAAACACAACAGGGGATGAACTTTTTCACTGGAGGAAGCTATGGGCTTGTATTTTGGCCAGAAGCGACGGTTTAACGTTAAAATCTTTTAATGATGGTTTTGTTTCTTACAAACATGCAGCTTTTTGCTTCACAAAATGTTAATGACTGGAGTGGTGAGGATTACTTGTGGATTATAATCATGTTTTTATCAGCTGTTTGGACTCTCATTCTGACGGCACCCATTCACTGCAGAGCATCCATTGCTGAGCAAGTGATGAAATGCTACATTTCTCCAAATCTGTTCAGATGATCTTAAATGGCCTGAGGGTGAGTACATTTTCAGCAAATTTTCATTTTTAGGTAAACCGTTCCTTTAATACAGAGCACATTCTGGGATTTACAATGTTTCATATTACAAGAAATTACAGACTTACCTACGTCATAAACTGACTGTATGGGGCATACTGCTTATGAAAGGACCAATGGGTTATTTGTATAGTGAAGGAGTTTGACATTTCTGTATGCACAAATGATTTAGAAATGTTAACAAAAATGTATAATAGATCACATCACAAATATATATTAATCTTGTAATATTAGAGATATAACAGTGGTAAATACATGGTCATTGTGACTTAAACTGAAAAAAAGAGTCATTTTCAACAGTTCTTATGTATGGTATTTTGTATTGAATATTGAAATGTTTACTTTTTTCCTCTTTTGCTAATTCACAAGAGCTTATAATGTGCATATAAATACTGTAAACATCGATTTTATTGCAAATAGGCCTACCCACACGTATGTGTGTGTGTGTGTTTTAGCATACTTATCAAGGCACATTACTCAAATGCAACTCAAATAATAAGCATTTCAGTGCATCTCACTGTTGCATGCTGTTAAGCTACAGTTAACTAATTTAAAACAATAAACAACCGCTCACAATTACTATTACCATAGTTTAAAAAAATAGTGCTGAGCAACTGAAAAAGCTGAATAAAACAAATGTTTGTGGTGATATCAGATGTATGAGATATTTCTGCTGGACAGTGTCAGAGGTCTGAACATCTGAATGCATTTATTGCATTTCTGCCTAAATCTAAACATGTATATATCATTTGACTTTCATGAAAGCAGATGTGCTGGATGAAATATACAGATGATCATTCTCTCCACAAGTGTTTCTTATACACGATGCTTCAACTAGCAAAACAATATTTTTTACAATATTTCGTGCTACATGCATAAACGGTTTTTCATATGTTGACAGTCGGAATTGTTATTTTGCATGTAAATGCGATTTGTGAATCAGGATAATCTTTATATAATCGTGTGGTTTTTTTTCCCCCAGACAAATTCATGCAACAGCTGTTTGAAGTCTTGACTGGTGTAACATTCTTTGTATGATGTTTCATTTGAAATAAGCTTTGAAGTTTGAAATGAAAATAAATGGTCAATGCCAGTCTGGTCAGATGTGACTTTCTCTCCCTCAGTTCCCCATCTTTATGAGAGCGCCATCATCTGGACAGATGGAGTAATCATTTCACTCATTATTATTATTATTCATGGCCTCGGGTAGATAAAACATCAGTAAAATATGTGACTTATTCAGCCAAACAGTTTAGGCTACATCAAGAAATATGTCATAATATAGCAAGATTTTTATTCCAGATAGTGTAAAATAATTACTGATTTTATGCTTAAATAAAGAAAGAGGCCATTCCAATTAGCTTGAAGAAATGTTTAAATGAGCAAAAAAGATCAAATATTTATTTTATGTGATATTTTGGGATAAATAAATAACCTATGAATATAACTCGTGAGTAGACAGATTTTTTTACATACAGTTTTATATAAATATGCTTTCAGGCGACGGACCTGTATTTTGAAAAATCCCAAACAGGAAGTTGTCCTGTGCTGTGTTTAGTTGTAGGAATGTTCATGCCGCTTACAGTGAAGGTTAGTTGGTTGTTTTGGAATGTTTGTGCGAAGGTTGTATATTTTTTTCCCGCATCTCCTTTTAAAAAAAGAATGAGTTTAACACGTTCAGTGCATGACTTTCTGTCTGTGTTATAAATATTTATAAAAACGAAGGTTCTTGAGCTCCAGAGATGTGAATGTTTCTTTACTTGACAAATGTTTATTTATATTTATGAATTGTGCGATTTTTTTTTTTTTGGCACAGAGTCTGATCAGTATGAACAAGTATGAAGCCATAATTAAATATATGTGGAAAAAGTAAACTACATTAACATTTGGGTTTACTGTGCAACTGAGAAGACGTGTCAATAAAATACATGTCAAAGGATGACTTAATGCCTTTATTGGAAATTATTTTGTTGGTGTAAAAGAGATAAATACGCCCAGGTGTTACATAACTAAATGTGAATTATGCCCACATTGTCCATATCCCATTGCAAAACCTCAAACACAATCTATAAGTGTTTGTTATAAGTATATTATAACTTTATAGCATGATAAGCCCAAGTAAATAAGTTACAGAATACCCTATATCTCCACTGTAAAAACAAAACTGTGCGAACCAGTACCAATTGTGCTGATAGTGGCACAATATTTGTCTCCGATATAGTTCATGCATTGGTCCTTGTGTCGAGTGCCACCAGCAACACACACACAAACACATACCTAAAAGAACCGAGCTGCCAAATGGTTCAGGTCCTCTTTGTTCCTCTAAAATAAATATTAAATTATGTCATTCATGTAATTAAATACCCTTAAAGTCTGCATTTTAACCTCATCGCGCAAAAAGAAACGAAATTAAAGTGAATGTCTTTGCCCTGCTACCTTCAGGTTCAAGCCTGTAGCTTAAACCACTAAGCCACTTTTCAGGAAACGGGTATCAACCCAGTATTCAGGTACGTGTATGCAATATGACAATGTATAACACATAATACTTGTTTCTTACTAATTTTGGGGTGCTGATTCCAAAAAATAGTGCCTGTTTTGCTTGAACATATCACACTTTCTCGCAAAATACGATGCATTTTGTAGCATTTTTGCTTTCAACAATCATTTGCAAGGTGAAGAAGTCTTATTATCCCTTAATCAGCAGAAAACATGTGGCATGAAGACATGATTCCTGTCATCATTTGAGCCAGCTTACAACTTTTTGTTCAATTCTCAGCCGATTTCCACATGTATGAATGATTCTGAAGACATTATTTTATGCCTAATCCTGATTTCCACGTTTTCCACTAATTTGCAGGTTGTAAGTTATGATACATTTTGACTACTTCTTTTTGTCATACTTCAAATCTTCATTCTTATTCTGTGAAGACGCTGTATGTGATGTAAAGATTTATTAATATTCTTTAACTCATTAAATTAGGTAATTTTAGGCCTTTTTGCAAATCAGAAGTTTCAGGGCTGTGTAAACATAAAATATGATGTATAAAATATAATATGGTGATCATACAGTTTTTATTTCTATAGCCATGGAAGACGACATACAAGAGGAAGTCCTTTCACAGTTCAAAGAGAGGCGACTGGGCGGCTGGCAGGTCCTGCAGCTGACGGCGGGCACGGGTTTGGCGGTCTATGCTGTCTGGGCTGGAATCCTCATGCCGGGGTTTCGCCGAGTGCCACTCAGATTACAGGTGAGATTTGAGGAGTGTGTCTGTCTTAATGCTGCTCTTGAGGAGTGATTTATCAGCCTATGACTGCTGCTGTGTTCCAGGTGCCTTATATGCCAGCGAGCAGAACTCAAGTGAGTAATGTCATGACTCTCCTGAAGGGCCGATCTGGAGGCATCGCTGACCTGGGCTCAGGTGATGGCAGAATTGTGAGTGATCCTCTTACTTTTTCATGTTTTAATGCTTTGTAGGAAGTCTATTATGCTCACCAAGGCTGCATTTTGTTTAATCAAAAATACAGTAAAAAACGTAATATTGTGGAATATTATTGCAATTTAAAATGATTATTTTCTATTTTAATGTATTGTAAAATATAATTTATTTCTGTGCTGCAAAGCTGAATTTTCAGCATCATAACGCCAGTCTTCAGTGTCACATGATCCTTCAGAAATCATTCTAATATGCTGATTTGCTGCTCAAGAAACATGTATTATTATTATCAATGGTGAAAACAGTTGTGCTGCTTCATATTTTTGTGGGAAAGAACAGCATTTATTTGAAATGCAGATCTTTGGTAACAATATGATTGTCTTTGCCATGACTTTTGATCAATTTAATGCATCCTTGCTGAATAAAAGCATTAATTTATTTTTTTTAAATCGACCTCAAACTTTTGAACAGTAGTGAACGTGCGCATGTGTTTGTTTTAATCGTGTGCAGGTGTTAGAAGCGTGCTGTCAGGGGTTTTCTCCAGCAGTTGGTTATGAGCTCAATCCCTGGCTTGTTCGTCTTGCGTATTTTCATGCGTGGAGAGCCGGACAACATAGAAGTGTTTCATATCGGCGAGAAGATCTGTGGAAGGTACATCTAAACACTCAAAATACTATATATATTATATAATAGAATAGAATAGAAAAATATTTGTATATATTATGTGTGTGTGTATATGGAGATATACAGTATATATGATATGTGACCCTGGAGCACAAAACCAGTCTTAAGTCGCTGGGGTATATTTGTAGCAATAGCCAAAAATACATTGTATGGGTCAAAATGATTGATTTTTCCTTTATGCCAAAAATCATTAGGATATTAAGTAAAGATCATGTTCCATGAAGATATTTAGTAAGTTTCCTACCGTAAATATATCAAAACTTAATTTTTGATTAGTAATATGCATTGCTAAGAACTTCATCTGGACAACTTTAAAGGCGATTTTCTCAGTATTTAGATTTTTTTGCACCCTCAGATTCCAGATTTTCAAATAGTTGTATCTCGGCCAAATATTGTCCTGTCCTAACAAACCATACATCAATGGAAAGATTATTTATTCAGCTTTCAGATGATGTATAAATCTCAATTTCGAAAAATTGACCCTTATGACTGGTTTTGTGGTCCAGGGTCACACACACACACACACACACATATATATATATACACACACAAATATTTTATACAAATAACATATACTTCAATATTATGCTCCCAAAATATTTAATTATAATATTATAATCTATTGTCTTACACTATCTTAACTTCCCATGCAAGATATGATTGGTACACAATATTGTGCGTAATATGTGTGTGTGTGTGTTTCCAGGTTGATCTCTCGGCGTATAAAAATGTCACAGTATTTCTAGCCCCTAGTGTGGTGAGTACCACAGTGATTCCTAAATCATTTAATAAGACTTAGAATGAATTCCGTCAAAGACTTTAATGCATTTGCGTCATATTATTAAGCCCTCATATACCGTGTATTGTGTCTTTATCAGTTAAGTCTTTTGCAAAAGAAGTTACTGGCCGAGCTGCCTGAAGATGCTTTGATTGTGGCGGGACGTTTTCCGTTTCCTGATTGGACGGCGTGTAAAGTAGAAGGTGACGGTGTGGACAGAGCGTGGGCCTATCACATACAAGAACTGAGACATCGCTACCAGTCACAAGACATACATGAGGAAACCAGCTGAGAAACATTTTAAACCTGTGCTTTCTTATTATTATGTATTCATTTTATCATGTTTTATGGAATTCTTTGATGCAGAATGTTTTTACAATATTTAAGCTATTAATTCATCTTTTTATTGTGCCCTCACTCTTAAGTGAAACAAAACATAAGATGCCGAAAACAAAACTGCTGTCTGTGGGTGTTCCTTAAAGGGTTCGAACACGTGGATCACTTCCTGTTTCTTGATGTGACCTAGATAATGTTGTGTGTACAATATTTCGCTTTAACAGAAAAAAAGGGAAATAAACCTAATTTATTGTAAGTCATCTTTATTGCATGTGCTGTCTTGCGAAAAGTGCATGTTTGTAAATGTGTTTACCAGTCAATCTGCAGTCTTACTCAACATGTACTCGAGTTGATGGGTTGCATAACGTGAAGCCGTTGAGCAAACCACAATAAACAACCAGAAGCAAGAGAATCGCAAGCTCTTCCCTTTCATCTTCAGAAATGACAGACAGTCACAGACCGATTCTCACAGTCCAGGAGGAACATCTACATGCAGAAACAAAAAGTAACAAAGCTTTTGTTTTGGCTAATTAACCTATGCTGATTTTTACAAAGCAGAGTGGCTGATGTGATGCAGGCATTTATAATACATTTTGAAGTTAGCAAATTAGAAGCACTCAAATGAAAAGAAACAAATTCAAAATATTCAAAATCACAAATATTTGAAAACAAACTGCTAGTCGTAAAAGTTGTTGATATGGCAGACAAAACCACTTCTGTTATGGGCAAAACTATTGACCACTGTAAATAATACCCGAGTACCAGTTAAGAAAAACTGTGTAAAAATGTACGAATAAATAAACAATAAAAATAGATACAAAAAATATTTTATTACTTTATTCTAATTCTAAGAAAACAACACTTGACCCTTCAACACTTGCACTCTATTATTTTTCTGTTCTTACTACTTGTTTTCTTTGTGAAAAAGAGCCTAGAATTCTCTATTCTTTCTCTATTCTATCTTCCTGTTTTCTTTTTATTTATTACATTAAAAAATGACCCTTTAACTCTAGCGTTCCCTACTCTTTTTCTATTCTATCTACTTGTTTTTCTTTTTATTCATTTTATATATAGCAGGGTTTATATATATATATATATATATATATAAAAACCCTGCTACTTGTACTGAGTTAGGCTGAGACTTGTCACAGCACTTACATATTATTGCCCTTTTGTTGGTTTTGATTGCTTCTATTGTCCTCATTTGTAAGTCGCTTTGAATAAAAGCTTGACTAAATGTAAATGTGAATGCGGTATTTATACATAAAACTATATAGATGTCTTAAACTTTAGGATGTGGGTCCCTCACACGAGGGTCATCATATTTGGGGGTCCGTGGCATCTAAAAGACTGAAAAGCTCTGGTTTGGCGGATGCATATGTGTAATAATGAGGCAATACCTGCACACGTACACACTGTACTCGACATGTGCCTTGTTGCGGCCGGTTTCATCCGGTCCGGGATTAAGATTTCACTTCCGGTAGTTTAATGGGTAGAGTACATTGGGTGGCAAAAGCAACTAGCAACTAGTTCCTAGTTACAGTTTAGTGTAGAGCACGTAATGTTTTTCCTCAAGGGGCGCTTGACGGCTCACAACGCCGATTCCTCTATTGAGTCGCATTCAAATCTCAGAACGTCTTATATCTTATTGGAGACATTTGTATAATATAAAGTATAATCATTTAAGTCACATTATTACAAATATACATGCCTGACATACTAATGGGAATTCTCCATCTGATTCCTCTATAAAATGATGAAAAGATCAAGCCTGATTAGTAATCACAAACGACGGTGACTGGTGTAGTCCGCCCAGCGCTGAGAAAAGTAACAAGTACCACGTGACGACTAAAGCGAAAGCAAAAATGTGAAAAATGAAACTCTTAAAAAAAAAATTTTTTTTAATTATTTATAAGATGTGCTGCAGTACAATTTAGAACGTTTAAGTAGTATAATGTGTACTATAATGTGTATAGTATATAGTGTAGTATAAATAAATGCAAATCGTACGCATAAATACCAAAATGTACTGAAATTTTGCTTATTTATGCTTACATATTATATATATTTTATGTTTTTACAAGAGGTATTGCAATCGTGACAATATGAACAACATTCGCTGCTAGACAAAAAAAAAAGTTATACACATTTTACGACATTTTTCATTGTTTTTATCTTGTTCCAAAATATTTATATATAATTTAAAGTCATTTATAAAACGTATGAAAATTAGGTTTGCAAAGAGCCCACTTCTTCTTGTACAAGAAATTTTCCTAATAAAATAAACAATTGCGTAACGTATTGTTTGAAAAGCTCACTAATTAAAAAAATCGCCTAATTACTATTCAGACCTGTCGCTTCTGACCAATCAGAGACAGCGTCTCCTCTTTAAGTCCCGCCCACTAAAGTACCCCGTTCCTTAACGCTGTTTGCCTTTCTGCCCGCTCTCATTTCTATTCTATGAGGAAGATGTCACTTCCGTTAGTTTAATGGGCAGAGGAGAGGAAGCTTACGAGAGGCCTGCACGGAAAGAGCGATCCCAGCAACCCAAGGAGTGGCTCTGTCAGTCTTCTGGGGGCTCAAATTAAAACACCGAGTCCCGCACAGCGCTACCGCCACCCGAGACGTACAGAATAGAGTCCCGACATATTTTTAAGACCGCTGTTTTGTTGCTCTTCTCTCTAGTTCGCAGTAGTTGTATGCGGTTTGCCGCCGTGTATCCGGGCAGCGTCAGTTCCAGTCTCGTTTAGGCTCGCGTTAGATCAACAATAATAACAAGTGTCTCGGAGCCCGAGCCCGGGGTGCACCGGGAGTGTGCGGGACAGTGATGCGGAATTTCGGTGCTTCCCAAAGGTGAAATACAAAGGCCCCAGAGGAAGCATGAGCGAGCAGAAACAGATTAATCTCATATTATAGCCGCATAAAAGCTCAGAGCCCGGGCATGGTGAGTCAAAATTAATGCATATATATGTGTAACACACTCACAGTCTATTTTATGCACTTTTTTTCATATGCAATTGCAAATACGTGAACTTTCTGTATGTGCAGCAGTGCCTGGAAGTTGCAATGCTTTTGAAGCGTCTGTGCTTCTTTATTGGCCTGTAAATTATCATATTGCACTGTGCTAGAAGCATTGATTTAATTTAAGCAAGTCAAAACACTTTGGTTTAGATGTGTATTACTGTACTATGATGTCTTAGGGCTGAAGATAGCAGTCATAGATCTGTCAGATATGAAAGCAAGTCAAATGGAAGTTTATTCTGTCATTGAGGAGCGATATCAGGTGGTATTCACACAAACGAAGCAGAGCAAAGCTTCTTCTGCGTGTGTATGTAACGGTGTCCTCTTGAGTTCAGGACATTCTGAACGCTATGAGGAAATCAAAAGCATTCTTCTGCTGCTGTGACGTCACACGCAACGTGTCGTGACTCATACAAAGATTTCAGAACCTGAGCGTCATCATCATCATCATCATCATCATCAGCCCACTTCCTGTATTCGTCTCCCACCCTTACTACTCTTTTCTGTGAACACTCTCACCTTTTTGTGTGTATTTTGAGGGCGAGCGTGCACTGAAAAAAGGGATCTGTCAGAAGAAGGCAACATGATGCATTGTACATAGTAGTTAAGGTTTGATAAATAAAAAATAAATAAGAAAAATGAAAGAATAAGAAAAGGCAATATGATGCATTACACATAGTCTTAAAGAGTTAATAAATAAAATTAAAATGAAATAGAAAAAGGCAACATGATGCATTACGCATAGACTTTATTAAGAGTTAATAAAGAAAAAATTAAATAACACTATAAAATAAACTACAATTAATTAATTTCTCACCCTCATGCCATTCCAAACCCATATGACTTTCTTTTGTGGAACACACACACACACACACACACACCAAAAAAAATATATATATTTTGAAGAATTTTTCACCTGTCTTTGTCCATTCTGTTCAAAATAACACTGCATGAACAACAAAAACAAAATACTGACATTAAAAAAAAAAAAAAAA